ACAGAGATCCGCCTGGCTCTGCCTCCCGAGTGCTGGGATTAAAGGCGTGCGCCACCACCGCCCGGCTGTTTTGATATTTCTATAGACATATGTCTATATCTATAAAAATGTATGATTTTTTTTTTCTTAGATAAGTTTTCTCTATGTAGCTCTGGTTGTCCTGGAACTTACTCTGTAGACCAGACTGGCCTCGAACTCAGAGATCCACCTGCCTCTGCGTCCTGAGTGCTGAGATTAAAGGCATGTGCAATTTTTATCTTACCTATCAAGGTAAAATTCATATAGCATAAAACTGACCACTTGGGGGGGGGGAATAAAGGAGTATTTTAAAGTGAACACATAGGTGGCATTTAACACATGCTTGGTATTATATAATAAATGCCTTTATCTGCCAGTATATTTTGTCTTTTGTTGTTGTTTTGTTTTTCGAGACAGGGTTTCTCTGTGTAGCTTTGGAGCCTGTCCTGGATCTCACTCTGTAGCCCAGGCTGGCCTCGAACTCACAGAGATCCACCTGGCTCTGCCTCCCGAGTTCTGGGATTAAAGGCATGTGCCGCCGCCGCCGCCGCCGCTGCTGCCACCACCACTACCACCACCACCTGGCTATTTTTGTCATCTTAAAAGAAAATAATATACTCATTAACTGTCATTCCCCATTTCTTCTCTCCTGCCACTATCCATCTTCTGCCCCTATAGATTTATTTTGCATATTTCTAATAAATGAAATGACCTGCTGGGTGTGGTGGTGCACGCCTTTAATCCCAGAGAGGCAGGAGGATCTCTGTGAATTCAAAGGTCATCCTGGTCTACACCAGGACAACCAGGACTACATAGAGAGACCCTGTTTCAAACAGACAGAACAAAAAAATCTAACGAGCTGAAATAAGAGCAAGCAGAGCTGAGGTGTTCCTGAACCCTGGGACGGAGCCAGTCAACCCACCAGGAACGGGACTGAGTTGAAATTCTGTCCATCGTAGGTTATACTAAGGGGCGGGATGGGGTACAGCTTCTGGTCCCAGTTTGCAGGGACAGAGCGTCACAAGGAAGCAGGTCGCTGGGCAGAAGCAGCTCCCACGATCACAGAGGCTGCAGCCCACACCACCGCCCTGGGTTGTGAGAAAACCACTGACACTTTTTCATCTGTCCTCAGCTTTGCTTTGGTGAGTGACAAGCTGTATCAGCGGAAAGAATCTGTTATCAGCTCCGTGCACACCAAGGTCAAAGGGATCGCAGAGGTGACCGAGAATGTCACGGAGGGTGGGGTGCTGAAGTCACTGCACAGCGTCTTTGATACCGCAGACTACACCTTCCCTTTGCAGGTGAGCACCAGGCAGCTGGCGCCAGGGATCTAGCTCAACTGGTAGAATGCTTGGCTAGCATGCATGAAACCCTGGGTTCAATCCCTGGCACCCCATAAAACCAGTGGGAGTATAAGCCTGTAGCCCCAGGAGGTCAAGGATGGAAAACTGGGAGTTCAAGGTCACCCTCAGCGGCACAGTGAGTTTGAGGCCAGTCTGGAATACGTAAGACCTTGTCTCAGTAGAAAAAAAAAAAACGTCGGCTCTATTTAGAGCCTATGAAAATCCCAACTGAGAAAACCTAAAAATTGCCAAACTGGGTCACAGCCAGCAGCTCAAAGAAGATGCGTCTTTGCTTTATCGAGCCCTACAGGGAGGGCTGCTGGAAATAGCGCATCCTGGTCCTGGCGCAGTCCAAATGGGATCTGATTCACTCGCCGCCGCGGCGGCGGCGCGCCCGTGCGCATGCGGCATGCGAGCGAGGGCGAGCGGCTTTAGAAGCGGGGCCACCGCAGGGCCAGCTCAGCCAGGATTCAGAAGGGCAGAGAGCTTGTCGATTGCATCTGCTTGCGTGGTGACCTTCTATCACTGAAAAGGCCTCCGGGAGAAGGTTCTCGAGTCTTTCTCAAGAAAGGATGTGGTGACGGGGAGAGAGAGAGAAAGGGTGGAGGTCGCACCGGCCGGCTGAGGCTGCAGCGCGCAGGAGAAATGAAAGCGATTCACCAAAAAAGGAGAAATAAAAGCGAGGCCAGGGAGTTAGGAACAGATGGGGGTGGGAGGAACAAAAGAACCCATGTGCAACCCTGGGGAGCCAGAGCACTTGGCAAAAACCATCAGGCCCAGGCTGCTATTAGTTTCTAGCTAGAAACCATAAAAGCCACTGATTGCCCAGGTAGTGGGAAGCCCCCACAGCCTTCCATTAAAGCCCGGAGAAATCGGAACAGCTTGCCCAGGGTGCGGCCCACACCCCACCTCCGCTTCCCCAGCTCTCCAGAGCCTCAATTGAATGGGATTTTACTGTGTCAGGAAAATAACACAGCTGCTTTTTGAGGCTGGCTCGGAAAATGACGGCTCCCCACATTTGAAAGCCCCCCTGCCCCCCCTCTGCCCGGTGAGACAATTCCTGCAGCTTTGATGTTAAGCCCTTGGCAAAGTCCATGCTGCCCACGGCTGATTTCTAGAGGCTTCTCAGAGTACAAAGGCTTGCCCCCCGGCACTTAGCGAAACATATGCTGCCTAAGGAGTTCTGCTCCCCAAGGTCTTGCCTTTACCCCTCCATTTCTCTCTGCAGGGGAACTCGTTCTTCGTAATGACCAATTTTCTCAAGTCAGAAGGCCAAGAACAAAAGCGGTGTCCTGAGGTAAGTAGGGAACTCTCTCAGCGAGGCCAAGAGGGAGATGCATTCTGGGAAAGAGATCTTTGTCTGCTCTCCTTAGTCTAGGGGCCTGTGTGAACACCTGCTCTTACCTTCCCAGGCTCTCTGTGCAGCTCACAATAACATGATTCCAGGCATGTGTGTTATTTCACATTTCCTCAGAGCCTCACAAATTCAGGAGGATAACTCCTAGGTCCTGTTTTACACAAGAAAACACTTAAGACATTTCATGGTACGCTACAAGCCCTCGGAAAATGTGCTGCTTGTGGAACAAAAATAATCACCCAGAGCAGATGAAACCCAAGGCCTCCCTCCACGGGGGGTACTGCCAGCCTGGAGGGTACCACATGACTCTGGGGAGGGGAGTTTAGCCGACCTGCAGTCTGGCCTGGGTTATTCCACCTGGACATGTGCTTTGACATGTCCAGACTCCTCTCTTTGCTTGTCAATATTCACACTGTCTCTGGTCATCTCAATAAACGCGGCCAAGCCCTGATGTACACCTGAATATGTATGGCTTCTTCCAGCTCTTCAAACTCCTGTGCACCTGCAGGGGTTCACACAGCTTGGTTTAGTCTCAGTTCCGTCGTGGGCTGGGCTCAGCTGGGTGACTGGCTTTCTGTTGGTTTGGCTCCTTTCTCACAGAGTCTCTCACTGAGTCTCTCACAGAGCTGTGGTTGCAAAGCCACTGCCCTTAAGCATCATTTGGCAGCTCAAAGTGCTGGGCACCTCTTCACTTCCGGGGACTCTCGAGGGCTTTTCTCTTCTCGGAGTCTTTCCACATGCTTCCTCCAGAAGAGTAGCCAACTTTCCAAAGTGCAGCTCAGGGACCCCAGAGCCAAGAAGGGGCCGAGGAAGGTCTAAGCCTGGAGCTGGCACCGCTTTAGTTCTGTGAGTTCTGTGATCACACACAGGCCCAGTTCCAAAGGGAGGGAAATACTTCATCTATCGGTCAGGAGAGTGACCGGGACTCTCTCCAACCCATGCAACCAACACAAAACTAATGTTGTTAGAGTTTCTTTTACAGACAAGAACAGAATTGGTGTATCTTTTTTCTCAGGAGTTCCTAATAGTTGATAATGAAAATCACAACTGCCCCAAAGCCATAGTATATAATCATTCATTCATTCACTCATTCATTCATTCCCACTACGATGATCAAGACCTGTTATGAGTCGGGCAGGTAGTTAGGCTATAGAGATGTGACCAAGGCTTTGCAGGTAAAAGATTGATAGTTGAATTTAGGGGTTACCAAGAGGAGAACCCCGGGACCTGGTGGGCCATAGAAAGGAAGCAATCTAGGCAGTAGAGAGAAAATGAGTCTGAAAACATAGAACTATTCATTGAGCAAGGACTACATGCTAAGCCCTCTTTCCAAAATTACTTCCATCTTCAGAGCATCCCTACAAGTCAAAGCACTTTACCCTCCTCTAACAGATGAGCCAAACACAGCCTAGAGGAAGTGAAATGACTTGGCCAAGGTAACACAACCCACGGAGGAAGCTGCTCTCACAGGACACAGGAGTACCTGGACTCAAGGCCTAGTTCCTTGCCCTGATCTTATAAAAAGACACAAATGAGCTGGGCGGTGGTGGGACACGCCTTCAATCCCAGCACTTGGGAGGCAGAGGCAGGCGGATCTCTGTGAGTTTGAGGCCAGCCTGGTCTACAGAGTGAGTTCCAGGACAGCCAGGGCTACACAGAGAAACCCTGTCTCAAAAAAACAAACAAAAACCAACCAAGTGCCCAGGTGACCCTGAGCAGAGGTTATTGCACCTCTGTGTTTCTTCTGTCTCTCCTGAGACTGGCCATTGGACCTGCTGCATGAAGTCAAACATCCACCAATCCCCCTCTTTTCTCTTCCCTTGCTCCATCCTTCAGCCCTGGACACAGCCGACCCATCCTCTCCGGCCAGGAGGGTGCTGGCGATGTCCTTTCTCCCCACCTGGTCTGCTGCGCCTTGGTACCTGGCAGCTTCTCGGTCCAGTGGTGGCCACTACAACCTCAACCTCGCCACCTGCTCTCTACCCCAAAGGCCATCCCTGAAAGTGCCTCCTGGCTGCCCTGACACCTGCTGTTTACATTTTTATTTTTGAGATATAATTCATACACTTTAAAACCTATGACTTCCAAGTACACAATTTGGTGATTTTTTTTCAACATCATGTAAACCATCACCATAATTACCTAATTCCAGAAAATTTTCCACACCCCCTCCCCAGGAAACTTTGACTCCCCAAAAAAATTGTCCCCACTAGTGACCAATCTCTTCCCTGTCTCCACAGCCATTGACAACCCATCTGCTCTCCCTCTGTGGATTTGGCTGTCCAGGCCATTTCCTATACACAGACCCATACAGCCTCCTGTGTCTGTCCCTTTTCACATGGCATCCTGTTTTGAAGTCAGTCCGTGACGTAGCGTGTGTCAGGACCTGGCTGAACAAGCCTCCACGTGTGGGGCTGAAAAAATGGGCCAGCCATTAAAGTACTTGCCATTCACACAGGAGGATCTGAGTTTGATTCTCCGCATCCATGTAGCTGTACTCACTTGTGATCGTATTGCTAGGTGGGCAGACAGGTGGATCCCCGGGGCTTGATGGGAGGCTAGCCAGCCCAGCCAAATCGGTGAGCGACAGTCTTATGATGGGAGGCCTTGTCTCAGAAAATAAGGTGGAGAGTGACAGAAAGGCATCTGACATTGACCTCTGGCTTATACGCGTGCATGTATGCACGCACACACACATACACACACACACACACACACACACACATACACGCATGCACGCACGCACACACTCGCTCCACTTATGGATGAACCCCCTTTAATTTGTCCTGTCTCACCCCGATGGATTTGGTCCGTTTTCACTTTCTGACCACTGGGCAGAGTGGCTGTAGTGAACAGTGGTGAGCAGGGGTTTGTGGGGTCTTGGGGGTACAGTGCTCACTCTCTGTTCTCCTGCCCTCCTTCCTGCAGTATCCCCGCCGAGGTGCGCAGTGTGATTCTAACAAGGACTGTAAAGAGGGGTGGATGGACCCGCAAAGTAAAGGTACTTTTCTCTGCCTTTCCCTGAACTGCTGAGGCGGGGCGGTCTGGCGTCTCTGTGATTCCTGATGTCCAGTTTCCAGTCCTCAGCCTCCGCCTTTCAGTTGCCTTTTCTTCCACCAGATCACAGGTTAGGCTATCTGTCCCCTGATTTGTCCCCAATAGACCAGCTGAAGCCTGTAAGCGTGGCTTGAGTGCCCCGGGGAGAGATGTAGGTTCAGGGTCTAATTGTTGGAGAACTTCCCCAAGGGTGGAGGGACTTGAACCTCCAAACCTGGAAGTTTAGCCTTTTAATTTTACTTTTCCTTCCTTCCCTCCCTCCTCTTTCTTTTTCCTTTTCTTCTCTTTCCAGGGCTTCTTGCAGGCTGGGTAAGCGCTCTACCACTGAGCTATAGTCCCAACCTTGAAAAAAGACATTGCCTCATGTTTTAACTTGAAAAGGCGTAAGACTCTCGTGTGGTAGTGCAGGTCTTTAATCCCAGCATTCCTGGGGCAGAGGTAGAGGCAGGTGGATCTCTGAGTTCAAGGCCAGCCTTGTCTACATAGCGAGTTTCAGGCCAGCCAGAGGTTAAATAGAGAGACCCTGTCTCAAAACAAGGAAGTCAGAGCCACCAGTGGTTACAATGTACACCCTCATGCTCACAGAAAAACACCTGAGTGCTGCCATCCATTCCACAACGTGTGTACGTGAGTTGCCATGGAGATCATTGTAATGTGGCTGGCCTTTTATCAGTTCTCTCCCTTCCTGACACTTCAGAAAGATGCTCCCCAAGTTCATCATGGGGCTTCACACATTCCCAGACAAGCTGTGTACCTATGGAGGCACTCAGATGCCACATGAAAAGCCATACTTCAGTCCATGGATAGGATACATTGTATACAGAACTCTCTCGCAGGCATCTCTCCCTGCAAAAATTTAACAAACAAGGGCTGTGTGATTTAGCTCAGTGCCCAAGGCCCTGGGTTTAGTCCTCAGCTCTGAAAAAAAAAAAAAATTAACAAAACTCCAGCATCTCCCTGTGCTATCTCCGGGCCTTTGTAAAGATGTCTTGTCAAGTGTTCTGTTTGGCTTGGAGTGCATATGTGAGGAGGGTGGGGTTCATAGAAGAGGGAGCTGCTTGGGTTTAAGAGTGAGGCATCAGGGCTGGAGAGATGGCTCAGAGGTTAAGAGCACTGGCTGCTCTTCCAGAGGTCCTGAGTTCAGTTCCCAGCAACCACATGGTGGCTCATAACCATCTGTAATGAGATCTGGTGCCCTCTTCTGGCCTGCAGGCATACATGCAGACAGAACACTGTATACATCATAAATAAACAAACTTAAAAAAAAAAAAAAAGAGTGAGCCAAGTGGTGGTGGTGCATGCCTTTAATCCCAGCACTCAGGAGGCAGAGGCAGGTGGATTTCTGTGAGTTCCAGGCCAGCCTGGTCTACAGAGCGAGTTCCAAGAAAGGCACCAAACTACACAGAGAAACCCTGTCTCGAAAAACCAAAACAAACAAACAAACAAAAAACCAAGAGTGTAGCATCATGTCTGTGTGGGCTGAGTACATGGTGCCCCTTTGAGATATTTCTCTTCGGGTACAATCACATCTGTGGTTCTTCAACCCCTTAAAACTTGTAGGAATCCAGACTGGCAAGTGTATACCCTATGACGATAAGAACAAGAAGGAGAAGACCTGTGAAGTCTTTGCTTGGTGTCCCACTGAGGAGGGGAAAGAAGCCCCCCGGTGAGTCGTGTGGTGTGTGTGGGGGGGTGGGGCACAAACAATGGTCTTGGCAGCGCCCGGTGAGGCCTTTCCCTGGCTCCTGAGCTTCTCTGATCAGCATAGTCCTGGCTGCAAAGTGCTGGTTTGGAGACCTCTAGCCATCTCTAGATGGCCCTGCCTGCTCTTAACATGTTATAGAAGTCCTGAACCAGCTGGCATGTAGCCATGACCCGGACCGCCCTTAGGTGGCCCTGCCTATCATGGCTGCTCTGGAAGAGCAGGGTTGACTCTGATCCATCCGTGCTCATTAAATAACAAAGAATATGAGGAAGCAGGGCTGTGGAGGTGGCTCAGTGAGTGAAGGGCCTGCCCAGCCAGCCTGGGGACCTGGCTTGGCATCCCAAGTACTGACGTGAATAGCCAAGTGTGGCAGCAGATGGCTGCAGAGCCAGGCAGGGGCTGCTGGCCAGCCAGTCTAGCTCACCAAATGGGTGAGCTCTAGGTTCAGTGAGAGACACTGCTTCGAAAATGTAAGGTGATGGAGGAAGATATCTGATACCAACTGCTAGCCTCCACAAGTGAGCATTCTGAGGCCTGCGCACATGTATACACATGCATCACACACACACACACACACACACACACAGAGAGAGAGAGAGAGAGAGAGAGAGAGAGAGAGAGAGAGAGAGAGAGAGATATCTTGGATCCTGGATCTTGCTCTGTAGACCAGGCTGGTCTAGAACTCAGATCCACCTGCCTCTGCCTCCCGAGTGTTAGGATTAAAGGCGTGTGCCACCACCACTCGGCATTTGAACCTTCAGCCAGACTCCATCTTTCGTAGATTATCAACTGCTAATGGTCTTGTTCATCACCGTACCCCGGTTGCTCCGGCTCTACGTCCCGTACCATAATTATTTGCTAATGAGTGGCTGGCTGGAGTGGGTAGGTGGCCTTCCTGCGGCCTGGAATTTTGATTCCTCTAATTCAGTATAGAACTACATGCTACCCAGAGCCTCTGATGGAAGAATGAATGAATGGATGAATGATAGACAATTCTGTCTGTGTTCCTGTGATAAAGGCTGGGCATACCAAAATAAAATTATCATTCAGCATGGCAGGGACTTCAAGCCTATCCAGGAAGCCTCAAACATGGCTACTCAAGAGCTGACGGGCACTGGCTCAAAGCTAATTATGCTCAGTCTGCCTCAGTTTCAGGTTTGCTGGTGGATGGGGGCTTGACTCCAGCCACGGTGGGCAGACTTACAGCATGGTCATCAGCAAGTGCTACCTGAGAGGCTCATTCCTGTCTGTCCCTTGGAGAGCTAGTTGTCAGATGTTAACACATCCCCGCACCACAGCCAAGCATGCAATTGTATCAGGGTTGGACATGACATTGTCCTTGCCATGGGGGTCTTGAGAAGGTAGAAGGCCTCTGGGAGGAGCTACAGGCCTTATGGAGAACGTTGGGAAGTGGCTGTATTCATTTCCCTTCACTCAAAGCCATCACCCTCTGGTCCCGTGAACTCTTGGTCCCTGAGATCACTGATCCTGGTTTTCCTCCCTTTTCCCTCTCCCAGGCCTGCACTCCTGAGGAGTGCAGAAAACTTCACTGTACTCATCAAGAACAACATCGACTTCCCCGGCCACAACTACACGACGTAAGCATCTCAGATGCCGGGCTGCGTGGGTCAGTTTGTATGCATCAGTTATCAAGGCCGTGGAACGAATGATCCCAAACCTAGGGAGCCTAAAAATTAACAGGAGCTTTTTTTTTTTCTCTCTCTCTCTCATCTGTGGATCAGGAATCTGGAAATGTCTTTGCTGGGAGTCTCTGGCTCATGCTCTTTCCTGAGCTGTCAGTCAGAGCTTCTGTTAGCTCTAGGTTTGGTCAGAGCTGAGTCCTTTTCCAGCCTTACCCATGTGCCTGAGGCAGCTAAGTTCCTCCTCTCACCCAAGGACTGTTTGAGTCTCCTTAGGATGCAGTAGCTGCTTCACCAGAGCAAGCAGTCTGCACCGCAGATGAGCAAGGGCCACTGAGATGGAAGCCCCAATCTCTGGGAGTGATACCCAACCAGTTCTGCAATGTGCTGTTGGTCACAAAGATTGTTCCTAGCACAATGTAAGAGGACATGCTACAAGGGTCCCCAGAAGACAAGGGAGCTGCCACACAGCTCACACCAATGAGCGATGGATCTGTTTGTAGTAGATCAAGGTCAAGTTCAACAATGTCCCATTGGTGGTGGGAGCATTTACACCACGGTAATCAGCAAGCGCTACTTGGCAGGCACCAGTCTTCCCTTTAGAGAGATGGTTGGTAAAACATCTGTTCGTTTGTATTTCTTCACAGGAGAAACATCTTGCCAGATACGGGCATCCTTTGCACCTTTCATAAGATTCACAACCCTCAGTGTCCCATTTTCCGACTCGGGGACATCTTCCAGGAAGCAGGAGAGAACTTTTCAGAGGTGGCAGTCCAGGTTGGTGGGGTTTTTGCACAGCGGTTGTATATGTGTCGGGAGGTAGAGGATGTCAAATGTCAAATGGCAGTGTCTGATGGTAGAGGCTGGCATCCTGGCTCACATTTATTTGTATTTGGTAAACCATACCCAGTGCCAAGGGTTTCGCCTGCATTCCTTCAGGGACTTCCACAATCCTGAGTGAGCTACTTGGTGTATTTTTTCCTGTGGTTGCAGTAACAAATCACCACTGATGTGCGGCTTAAAGTTACATGTTTTCTTCTGTGCCTGGAGTAGCAGGACCAGAATCTGAGCTGAGCTCAGGTGTCAACAGCAGCGCACGCCCTCTGGAGGCTCCAGGGGAGAATGCATGTTTGCTTAACCTCCCCGCTGTGCTCCTGGTGTTTATTTGTTGGTTGGCCGTCCCTTCCTCCATCTTTTTTTTTCTTTTTTCTTTCTCTCTCTCTCTCTCTCTTTTTTTTTTTTTTTTTTTGAGACGGGGTTTCTCTGTGTAGCCCTGGCTCTCCTGGAACTCTTTCTGTAGAACAGGCTGGCCTCAAACTCACAGAGATCCGCCTGCCTCTGCTTCCCAAGGGCTGGAATTAAAGGCATGCGCCACCACCACCCAGCGCACTGAAACCTTTTAATGAGCATTTTCCCCCCGCAGAGAGAAAACTTTCCCGCAATAATATTACAATATCATTACTAATGATATAATGGTGCATAACCCACACCCAACAGACTTCAGTGACTTTTCTTGTTGACTGTCCCCCAAGGGAGGAATCATGGGCATTGAGATCTACTGGGACTGCAACTTGGACAGCTGGTCCCATCACTGTTATCCCAGATACAGCTTCCGCCGCCTGGATGACAAGTACACCAACGAGTCCTTGGTCCCTGGCTACAACTTCAGGTACCAGTATAGAATGTGCCAATGGGGCAGAGTCAGCAAACAGAAAAGACAAGGTTGCGACGTCATGGTTGCTGCTGTATTCTGAGAAGGGACACATAGACAAATATGTAAGCAAATAAAACGTTACAGCTCATCAACATTACTAGTCATTAGGGAAATGCAAATTAAAACCACACTAAGATAAAATTGTAGGGCCACGGAAATGGCTCAGCGGGTAAGGGTGCTTTCGGCTAAGCACAGAGACCTGAGTTGGATCCTCAGAACACCCAGTGGAAGGGTACAGCTGGCTCTCACAAGTTGTCCTCTGACCTTCACATGTAGGCCATAAGTGTGCATGTACACACACACACACACACACACACACACACACACACTAAATAATTTCTTTTTTAGAAAGTAGGCAAGCCTCGTCTTTGGTGAGAGAAGACAGAATAATGGGTTGTGGGCTGGGAAAAAGTTTTCTGAGAAAATGCAGTGCTCTGAGTTTTTGGGATTTTGATGCAAACACAAGGTATTCATTTGTCAAAACCCATGACTAGGCATGGTGGTGTATTTCTTTAATCCCAGCATGCCAGAAGCACAGGCCGGTGGATCTCTGTGAGTTTGAGGACAGCCTGGTCTACACAGCAAGTCCCAAGCTAGCCAGAGCTATTTAGAGAAAACTTACCTCAAAACAAACAAACAAAAGATAAAAACTGAACAGAGACTTATGCATTGTAAGTCATGCAAATGATATCTCTATAGAACCAACAGACAGATCTAACTAGGGCATTTCTAATGACGGTAAAGTTCTCTGAAGAAAATCAAGCAAGATAATGTGATGGGAAGATGTGGCCAGGGAAGCCTCTCCAAGCAGGAGATGGGGACCCTGCAGGTATGGCTCCCTTTTCTAGTTATGAGGGAGGACTGGAACCTGGGCTCTGAGAGGGAACTCGGGAAACAAAGTCACGTCTGTGAATCCCTTTCACATCCCGTCTAGACTAGCGACTCTCAAAATGCAGCACTCAGCAGCAGCATCACACAGTGACTCGAAAATGCCCATTCCTGGGCCCGGCCTAGACCTCCTGGTTCAGACTGTACAGAGGTGGGCCTGTGATCTGCATTTTCACAAGTCTCCATGGGGCTCTGATGTTCCCTCGAATTCGAACCCTGCTGGGTACAGACGCCTCTCCTCAGAGCTCCATCCCGGAACCTGGGTCAGGGGCCTCACCTGGGTGCCTGCTATGGTGCGGAGCATCACACACAGTACCTCCCCACCCCTGACTTAGCAAACACCTGCATAGGACCAGCCCTGGAGACTCCATTTATTCATTTGCACCTGTGGAATGTTTTAAACCTTGTGATAGTCTACACACAGACTCCGGCTTCCTCTTTTTCCTGAAACGCTAATGTGCTTCACGAAGAGTTTATACACTTTAAGTAACACTGGGCCCAGATAGATGCCCTAGGACAGCTCTGGCTGGAGTTGGGTGTGGGCCCTGGAGAAAGAGCACATAGCTTTTACGTTGACACTGTTCTTACCGCTTCTTCATGTCCTTTTTTTTTTTTTTTTTTAACATTTTATTTTATGTGGGAGCCCACAAAGGCTTTCTAGTGAGATCTGAGCTTGCTTTACACAGCAGGGCTGCATTAAGGGATGGCTGGACCACGTGCCAGGTCACCAGGTGACTGGTATGGTCTGCACTTGGCTGTGCTGGGGGAGGTCTTTTGCTCTACCCCTTGGCATTTCTTTAAAAAGCCCTTTAGTAGAGACAGAAGGGGCTGGTGGGTTTGGACCCAGGCCCTCCCAAGACTATCTTGTGTTTTCTGTCTATCTCTCTACATATATCTTTCTATCTCCAAATTCCTTTTTTCTCCCTGCTCAAAAGTACCCTAAGGGAATAAGAGGGAGCTGGTCTCCCTCAATTTTATTTCAATTTTTTTTTCACTTTACATACTAACCACACTCCCCTCATCCCCCCCCACCCCATCCACTCCCATTGGCCGAGCTCTTTATGTCTTCTCTGTGACCTGCATCCTTTATGCCTGGTCCCTGTGGAGATCTGAGCTGGAGACTCTTGACTCAGCATCAAGCCGACCGAGGCCTTTTGCCTCCTCCGGGTCAGTGAAGTTTCATCCCTGGCTCAGGAAGAGGCTCTTAGTTCCGGTAACTTTGTGATCACCCTTACTGAATAGGGTGATGTGCTGAAGAGGCTGTGGCCATTAGCAAGAAAGAGAGGACATGAAGAATGGTCCCCTGACTGTCCTGGGCATTTCTATTTAGCAGTCAGCCAAAGCATGCAGGGTAATGTACCACTCAGACACTGGCCAACGGCCTCCTGTTCTCTGAGCTGAACCTAAGAACATCCGCTCCTGGTGGGACTGAACTCTCTAGAAGCCAGGAGGGGTTATGACGTCAGTATTTTTTTAGACTAAAGCGTTAGCAGATTTGTTGTTGAATGAGCACCAGGAGAACTCTTTGGCCAAAAATAAATTGTGGAGATCTGATAGGCAAGAGAACAAGTTCTTTTCAAACAGCGTCACAAAAGAGAAGGAAATTACAGGCTCTATGAGGTATTTGGGGAAATATAGCTTTCTCTTTTTACAGGAAGTTAAAAAGTTCACATTATGTAACTTGGTCCTCAAGAAAAAGATTTATGGGGGCTGGAGAGATGGCTCAGTCAGAAAGGACTTGCTGGGTAAGCAAGGAGGACATGAGCTCGGCTCCCAAGCATCCATATAAAAAGCCAGACCTAGTGGTGTGTGCCTAGAATCCCAGTGCCGGGCAAGCAGAGACAGGGATCCATGCGACTTGCTGGCTGGGCAGTCCAGACAAACTAGTGAGCGGCAGGTTCAGGGAGAGACCATGTCTGACAAAATAAGAAAGGAAGTGATGGAGAAAGATTATCTGGTGTGGACACCCCACCCCCACCCCACCCCAGTCTCCACACACACAAACACACACGAAAATAAAGACGACACAAGAATGTCCTCCTCTGGTGAGCTTAACCCTAACTTATGTGTGTGATACTGGGGTATAAGATGCATTTCTCGGGTCCAGAACGTGTGTGGATAAGTATGAGTTTCCTGTGGCTACTGTAACAGATGACCACAAATGGCTTAAGGCGATTGTCGTGAACAGTGGATGCTTGCTACGTGGATTCTCTCATAGAGACGGGAGGTCTGAGACCCGAGGGCCGTGCTCTCTCTGAAGGCTTAGGGAGGGGGTCTTCTTCTCTCGCCTCTCCTACTTCTGTCCGCTCCAGGAATCTCTCGCCTCATAGCTGAACCAGGCCAATCTCTGCTTTCGTTCCGAATGGCTTCGCTATGGTCCTCCAGTCTAAATTCCCATCCCCTTTAGCTTATAAGGATGCCTGCTAATCATGGGATGTAGGACTGCCAGGAAGTCAGGGGACGCTCACCATGAGATGCTTATATACATTTGCAGAACTATGTTTCCAAATAAGGTCATAATCACTGTGCTGGCCTGGGGTTAAGTACTTGGACCTGTCGTCTCAGGGGTCCACTATTTAATCCATTACGTGCAGAAAAGCATCCTGGTCCAGAGTCCCTCAGTGACTCACCCCCTACCTGCCTGTACTGAGATGACTCCTAGAACTGCTCAGACCTTCTGAAACCCCTCTTTGGCATTCAGGCCCAGAGGCCCCCCTTTTTGATAGTCTCCCCATATAATCTTTGCCCTCCATTATGATCTACAATGGCAAGAGCCCAGAAGCAGAAATTCAAGAACTTACAAAACTAATTTTCCCAGGCAAGCCAACCACAAGCGTGGAGTACTGATGCATGCCGCCTTGTGTGCTAGAAGGTGAATCATTCGCCAGAGCGGGAAGGAGAGAACTGTCTCGGAATGAAACAGAGTCAAGGCAACGGGAACCTCTCTGGCTAAAACCAAACACTGAAGTGCCGGAGACGGCCTGATTCGGTCTCAGGGTTTTTTGTTTTTCTTGTTTGGTTGGTTTAATTGGTTTGGTTTCTCGAGACAGGATTTTCCTGGAACTCACTCTGTAGACCAGGCTGGCCTTGAACTCACAGAGATCCACCTGCCTCTGCCTCCCGAGTGCTGGGATTAAAGGCATGCGCCACCACCACCTGGCTTCCGTCTCAGGATTTGAGGGCTTTCTACAGAAAGGATCTGGACTATTCCAGGTGATATTCTGGCAGAGCATCTGTCTTCTGTTTTCTTCTCTTCCTACACCTGGAAATAGGCTGTGACCGACTCAGAAAGAAAATCCGTGTTTTTATGTAAGAACAACCCGCGGAGGTAGAGAGACTCGTGCCAAAGCCTCACGAGGTCTGTGGTCTTGTGCTGCATTGGACTGCATTGTTTGGTGGCAGTTTTGTTTGCTTTTGTGAGGCAGGGTCTGACCATAGAGTCCAAGCTAGCCTTGAACTTACTGCAGCCCAGGCTATCCTTAAACTCAAGGCAATCCTCCTGCTTCAGCCTTCCAAGTGCCAAGATAACAGGTGTGTAGTCCCATACCCTGCTAAACATATGTGGTTTACGTCTTCCTGACTATTTATGAAAAATAAAGTTACACACACACACACACACACACACACACACACACACACACACACACACACTTAACCGTTGCACCTGTTTGGGGTGGCTGTGATTTGTGTCAGGTTACTTCATAAAGGTGGTTGTATGATAACATGGAGAAGTTAACGTCACTGGACTTAAACCTAAAGCCTACATATCCCAGAGGATGGAAGCAGGCTAGCCCACCCAGGGCTCAAGAGAAGCACTGCTTTGGTCAGAGACAGAGCAAGGGGAGGATGAGGCCCGCATTGTGAGGAAAGGTGAAGCAGGCTGGGGAGAGGGCTGAGAGCTGTCATTGGACACTGGGCTACAAGGACATTCATTAATCCCCCCCCCCCCCGCCCCCGGGGCTGAGGACCGAACCCAGGGCCTAGTAGTGCTCTACCACTGAACTAAATCCCCAGCCCCGACATTCATGAATTATATGTCTGGCCCTGGCCCTACCTGCCTCTGTGTGCCTGAGGGTAGAGAAATTCTGCCCGGATCTGAGAATTAGAGGAGGTGGCGGCAGGGAATCCAGAACTGGCCTGAAGGTTTGGAACGTGACTTTCACAGACTCACAAAAGATGAATTTCAGGCTGCTGTCCACAAGGTGACCGACCTTTGGTTCGGCTCTGTGGCTAATGGTTGGCAGAGAGATGCATGCAGAATCTGAGAAAGCACAGTTATGACAGATCCTTCAGCTGCCCCTAGTGGACAACAGAGAGCTGAGACTCACGTTGTCCTTCCCTGCTTTGTTCTAGAAGCCATGCCTGTTAGCACTCAGGAGGCAGAGGCAGGCAGATTTCTGAGTTCAAGGTCAGCCTGGTCTACAGAGTGAATTCCAGGACCGCTGGGGCTACACAGAGAAACCCTGTCTTACAAAACCAAAAGAAAGGGAGAAGGAAATAAACACGTCTGGCATGGTGGCCTTCGCCTTTAATACCAGCAGTTGCAGGCAAGCCGATCTCTGAGTTTGAGGCCAGCTTGGTTTACATAGTGAGTTCCAGGAAGCCAGGACTATATATAGAGAGATCTTGTCTAAAAATAAAAAAAAGAGAAGAGAGAAATAAACACATTGTCTGAAGTTACTCTTTAAAGTTTCTTTGCTTATTGTTGATTTTATATTGCCTTAAATGTTGGATTTTTGTTTGTTTGTTTCTCTGTGTAGTCTTGGAGCCTGTCCTGGATCTCACTCTGTAGACCAGGCTGGCCTCGAACTCACAGAGATCGGCCTGCCTCTGCCTCCCAAGTGCTGGGATTAAAGGCATGTGCCACCACCTCCCGGCAAATGTTAGATGTTTTAATAGGAAACTAAAAGCCAATTTTCTGTTACTCAGGGATGATGGAAGCAGGTGAGGTAACTTGGGGTCACTCTTTGGGCAGAGAGGAATCAGAGGGGTGGACTGTACTCTTTGGCAGGCATCAGAAGCCAGTGAGGAAGACTGGACTGGCGACTGGTTTGCTCTTTCTCGCCACAAGACAGCAGCACTTCCAGAGAGAGTGTGGTAAATGTGGCTGCTCTTCTCCCACAGGTACGCCAAGTACTACAAGGAAAACAACGTGGAAAAGCGGACTCTGATCAAAGCCTATGGGATCCGTTTTGACATCCTGGTGTTCGGCACTGTAAGTCTCTCTTTCCTGTGGCTGTCTAATTGTGAGCGTAGCGAGGAGTGAATGCTGGTGGCTGGACTCGGTAGCTGGCTCTGTGCGATTCACTTGCGGAATGAGACCAGGGAGAGATGTATTGGGGCTTCTGATCGATGAACAAACCATCTGAAGAACATGAAATGTGACTGAGGGGAAAAAATCCAAATATCCAACCTTTGTTTTATTTTTCTGGGACAGGCTTTTGCTCCGTAGCCAGCTGGTCTTGAATTCCCAATCCTCCTGCCTCATCCTTCTCAGGGCTGGGATTATAGGTGTGCCCCCATACACCTAGCTCTAATATTCAGCTTTTCAGATACTTTAATGGGGAGCTGGAGAGCTGGCTCAGAGGGTAAATAAAGTGTTTACCGACAGGCATGAGGACCTGGGTTCGGACCCCCAGAACCCAGGCAAAGGCTGGGCACAGCAGCGTGTGCAGGTCTGTAATCCCAACACTGGAGGGAGAGATAGGAGGATTCCGGGGACTCACTGGCCAGCCAGGTTCACTGAGAAACTCATCTCAAAAGCGATTACACAGATTGAGGGCAGATGTTCCAAAATCAACCTCCTCTACAGGTATGCATGGGCAAGCACACCTGTATACATACACACGCACATAGAACAGACAGTGCACACACTAAATCAATAAATAAAGGGCATCTGAAACTGAGCTGGGGTGTAGCTCAGTAGGTGGAATGCGTGCCTAAGGGAGATAAGAAGGCCTGGGTTTGATCTCCACCACGTAAAGCACACCATGCTTGGTGGCACGTGATTGATGCCACATTGTAACAAAAGAATCAATCATATGCGAAGTCGGGTGTGGCGGTGCACACTTTTAATCTGAAGGCAGAGGAGGCATGTGATCTGTGAGTTTGGGGCAGCATGATCTACACACCAAATTCCAGGCCAGTAAAGACTATGTAGTAAGACATAAATGTCTCAAGTTAAATAAATAGGAAGGAAGAGAAAAGAACCCATAAAATAAAATAAGTGAATGGAAAGGTCACTGAGAGCGGACCTTGAAGAGACCAATAAGAAGACAGATGGGCTGGGTGGTGGCGGCGGCGGCGGCATTGGCGGCATTGGCGGCATTGGCGGCATTGGCGGCGGCGCACGCCTTTAATCCCAGCACCCGGGAGACAGAGGCAGGCGGATCTCTGTGAATTCAAGCCCAGTCTGGTCTAAAGATTGAATTCCAGGACAGCCAAGGCTACACGGAGAAACCCTGTCTCAAAAAAAAACCAAAAAAAAAAAAAAAAAAAGGCAGATGGATGTAGACATGTCTGCTCCCCCAGTCATCCTACAGTATGGGACAGCTTGTCAGAAACCCTCGTCTCAGAAGTCCTCCCCTTACGGACCGACCACATCTCTCTAAAACATTCTAGATGGCGGAAAGGGGAAGCATGATGTCTCACGGTCTCTGTGACAGTTGAGCACTCGGGTGCATGTCTCAATGCTATCGCCGGTTTCTGCACATGCTAGGTGCAGCAACTGCAAGTTGGCAAGAAACAAAAGGCGTCACTTAGAGTTCAGCTGAGTGATGCTCCCCGCTCTGTTTCAGGGAGGAAAATTTGACATCATCCAGCTGGTTGTGTACATTGGATCCACACTGTCCTACTTTGGCTTGGTAAGAGAGTCTCTTCCTCACCCTTTAAGAAAGTGGTTCAGGCCGGGCAGTGGTGGCGTACACCTTTAACCCCAGCACTTGGGAGGCAGAGCCAGGCAGATCTCTGTGAGTTCGAGGGCAGCCTGGGCTACCAAGTGAGTTTCAGGAAAGGCGCAAAGCTACACAGAGAAACCCTGTCTTGAAAAAAAGAAAGAAAGAAAGAAAGAAAGAAAGAAGGAAGGAAGGAAGGAAGGAAGGAAGGAAGGAAGGAAGGAAGGAAGGAAAGAAAGAAAGAAAGAAAGAAAGAAAGAAAGAAAGTGATTCAGGCCGGGCGGTGGTGGCAGCAGACGTCTTAAACCCCAGCACTCAAGAGACAGAGGCAGGCAGATCTCTGTGAGCTTGAGGCTATCCCGGTGTCCATGGTGAGACCCAGGCTTGAAAAAACAACAGCCACAAAACCACCGAAGGACATGATGTGGCAGGGGAGGTCTCACCGGCACGGTGTCTGCTTTTCCACAGGCCACTGTTTTCATTGACTTGCTCATCAACACCTACTCCAGTGCCTTCTGCAGGTCCAGCGTTTACCCCTATTGTACATGCTGCGAACCTTGTGCAGTCAACGAGTACTACTACAGGAAAAAGTGTGAGTCGGTGGTGGAGCCGAAGCGGGTAAGGCATGCTGTCCCTGTCAGATCCCCCCAATACACACACACACACACACACACACACACACACAGATTCTTCTAGGTGGCTAAAAAGTGTGTGTGTGTGTGTGTGTGTGTGTGTGTGTGGAAATAGGCCATAATCACGGGTTCATCCCTAAGTGGGCCAGTTCCTTGACAACCCCAAACAACTGTCTCTCTGATGAGTCCTTCGGTTTTGAGAAAGAAAAGAAGCAAAAATGGAGAAGCGACATAGACAGGAAGATTTTGTTGTTGTTTTTTTCGAGACAGGGTTTCTCTGTGTAGCTTTGCGCCTTTCCTGGAACTCACTCTGTGGCCCAGACAGGCCTCAAACTCACAGAGATCCGCCTGGCTCTGCCTCCCGAGTTGTGGGATTAAAGGCGTGCGCAACCACCGCCGGTCCGGGAAGATGAATTTTTACGTTTTGGTCCAGATTTGGTCATTTATTAAATCGGTAGAGTCCCTCCCTGACCCCATATAGTACAATGGCCTCCAAGAACAAATCATAAGGCAGTGACTAATAATATTTCAATGGGAGTGTTTTGTCCTGGTTTTTCCATTTCTCCATACCTTTCTAGAGAAACCTTTACGCAGATGCATACAGTGTTTAGGATGGTCACTAAATTCTGTTAAATTATTAATACTGCTTGTTAAATTACTAATAGCCGAGCCGGGCAGTGGTGGCGCACGCCTTTAATCCCACAACTCGGGAGGCAGAGCCAGGTGGATCTCTGTGAGTTCGAGGCCCATCTGGGCCACAGAGTGAGTTCCAGGAAAGGCGCAAAGCTACACAGAGAAACCCTGTCTCGAAAAACCAAAAAAAAAAAAAAAAATTACTAATAGCCAAGCAATAGTTTAGTAATGCAACATTTGCTCAGCATGTGTGAGGCCTGGGTTCGATCCCCAGTATTGCAAAATAAATGAATAAATAATAGGAAGAAACAACATCTATCCAAATGTCCACTGGGTGAATGGCGAAAGACGCCATGATAAACCCATAGTAAAAATACCAGTTATCACTCAGGTCAGTATTATTAGCAAGAAAGAAAATAAAGCCTTTAGCTACACACACATACACACACACACCCCACTCACTAGAATGAGGTAGATGGACCAGGTATGTTTGCACATGCTGGTAATCTACATAGTAGGCTGAGGCAAGAAGAATGTGAATTCCAGATCAACCTGAAACAACAACAACAACAACAAATAAACCCAGAAAGTTGGATTTGGAGCCTCATGTCTATAATCCTGGCACTGGAGATGCTAAGGCAAGTGGACTGCCTTGAGTGCAAGGCTAGTCTAGGCTACAGAATAAGACATTGTCTCAAACAAAACAAAACAAAAAAAAAGCAAAACAAAACAAAAAAACCCTCATAGGTCTGGAGTGAGAAGCAGAGATGGCGAGGGAGGAGAGAGTGAGATTAACTACTACTGTGTCAGAGTCACAGAGACAGAAAACGGCAGGGCTGGGATTCCACCTGAGGCTAGCTGGCCTCAGAATCTGCTATAACCACTTAGGTACAGGTGATAACTTGAGCAAATAGCCAAGATGTTTTGTTGAGAGGAAAAGGTAAATAAGAGAGCTATACATCACCATTTATAGGTTTCGAAAGGCAACTACACACACAATCTACTTCTATGCATTCTCTGTATGTACATTTCACACATGTACATGTATATATGCATATGTGTGTCCTGGACCCACAAGAGAGTGTTGACAGCAGTGGTTGCTGGTAGCTTCTGACAAAGAGCCTAAGACAGGAGGGTAGGTACCTGTACTGTTTTGATTTTACTACTTTGGACTCCCTGAGGCAGGTCTACTCCGTGAGGCAGGTCTACTCCCTGAGGCAGGTCTACTCCGTGAGGCAGGTCTACTCCCTGAGGCAGGTCTACTCCGTGAGGCAGGTCTACTCCCTGAGGCAGGGTCTACTCCACTCACTTTCATGCTCCCCACAGAGAAACCTCTGGCTCCTTGAACACAAAGAGGGTTACTTTGTTTTGCCCTGGGAACATCACTGTCCTTTTCCAGGGGCCAAAGCACAGTTCATTATTTATTGTCTATTGTCATTGTGCTGGTGATGGAAATGAAAGTTCAGCCAAGCTCAGTGTGGTGCCACTGGCCTGCAGTCCCAGCAGGAGGTAGACTGAGGCAGGAGGATGTTGAATCTGAGGCTAGTCCAGATTGGAGAATAAGACCCTGACTCAAAAAAGAAAATAAGGAGAGAAGAACAGAGAGGGGAGAGAAAGGAGGGAGAAAGGGGAGGAATGAATGAAGGGAGAGAGGGAGGGAGGGAGGGGGGAAGGGAGGGAGGGAGAGAGAGAGAGAGGGAGGGAGAGAGGGAGAAAGGGAGGGAGGAAGGAAGAAGGGGAGGAAGGAAGGGGAAGAGGAAGATTATTTTACTTTTGTAACTAAAGCTCAACATGGCCCCTCCCAAATGAGTGAAATTTAACAAACACGTAAACAAATAAAGGACAATGCCACAGCCCCCCAGAGACTGCACCCATGGACACTGGACTCAGGAGACTCAGCACAGGCCATTACACTGTGCTGGGGCCTCGCTGGACTGGGGCCAGGATGGCTTTCCCAGTTAGGGTGCACAGGGTTCCATGTCTGACTTCCCTTTAGGTCTTGGCTAGCTTGCTTTGTCGTGTGGTCAGTGCGATTAGCAGAGGAGTTCACATGCGTGTGAACAGGAGATTCTTGTAACTTCCGTACAGAGCAGACTTTTTTTTTTTTAACAGGGTTTTGGTGCCTGTCCTGGATCTCACTCTGTAGACCAGGCTGGCCTCGAACTCACAGAGATCCGCCTGCCTCTGCCTCCCGAGTGCTGGGATTAAGGCGTGCGCCACCACTGCCCAGCTCCAGAGCAGACTTTTGTCCTTCTTTTCCTAGACATTAAAGTATGTGTCCTTTGTGGACGAACCCTACATTCGGATGGTGGACCAGCAGCTACTCGGGAAGAGTCTGCAGGTTGTCAAAGGCCAAGAAGTTCCAGTAAGTGAAAACATTTAGTCTTCTTTTTTAGGAGGTGTCGCTCTTAAATATAAACACTTGGAGATATTTATATAAATCACAGTTGATGAATTTTAGCCAAGTAAACATACTCATGGGACCAGCACCCAGATTGAAAAATGAGCTGCTCTGGGGCAGATGGGGTGGTTCAGAGGGTGGAGGTGTTTGCCTGCCAAAGCTGATGACCTGAGTTGGATCCCTGGGATCCACAGGGGAAGGAAAGAACCAATTCCAGCAAGTTAGCCTCTGATCTCCTATGGTACATGTGCGCACACACACACACACACACACACACACACACACACACACACACACAAATGCACACGCAAATAAATCTAATAAAATGAGATGTTTTGTATAGCTCATAGTAGAGTTGGGGGTTTTGTTCGTTTCTTTTTGGTTTTTGGTTTTGGTTTTTTGAGACAGGGTTTCTCTGTGTAGCCCTGGCTGTTCTGGAACTCACTATGTAGACCAGGCTGGCCTCGGACTCACAGAGATCCACCTGCCTCTGCCTCTCAAGTGCTGGGATTTAATAGTAGAGTACTTATCCAGAGGAGGAAAGACAGAAAGAGACTGAATATTCCAGAAGTTCCTTTTATGCCTCTCCTGAATTGCCATCTTCTCTTAAAAAACAGTCCTCATCCTGCATCTAAGGCTTAGGATCTAGGTTTTTGTTGTTCTTTTGAGACAAGGTCTCACTATGCTGCCTTGGATGGACTGGAACTTTAATGGAGACCGGGTTGGCCTGGAATTCATAGAGATCGACCTGCTTCTGGATCCCGAGGGCTGGGATTAAAGGCATGCGCTACCACCACCGAGGTTAAGGATTAGTTTTGATTCTAGAATTGTATAAAAGAACTGTACAAGCTGGGTACAGCTGTCTAGACCTGTAACTCCAGTACTTGAGAGGTTGAGGCAGGGAGATCGCTTGGACCCAGGAGTTCAGACCAGGCTGGGAAACCCAGTGAGACGTTGTCATAAAACACACTCTGTTGAAAGTGGTGCACACCTTTAATCCCAGCACTCAGGAGGCAGAGGCAGGTGGATCTCTGTGAGTTCGAGGCCAGCCTGGGCTACAGAGTGAGTTCCAGGACAAGTGCAAAGCTGCACAGAGAAACCCTGTCTTGAAAATCAAAAACAAAACAAAAAGTCTGACTCCTATCATCCATTATTTTAGTGAGTTATCCGACATTGCATATGGTGATAGTTCATGCTCATTTTTGTATAACTTCTGCTTTGTAAACATTCACTTTGTTTACCCATTCAGCATGGAAGTTCATCTGGGGAGTTTCTAGTATGGGGGCAAATGTCAATCATGCCATGATGGCAAACATATGGCATTCTGTCAGGTGATCACCCGAGAGTCACGGCCAGCATATGTTTTGTGTTAAAGGACACCAACAAACAGCTACGAGGTGGCTGGGATCATGTGTGTTCCCCACAGTTCCGGCCGCTGGCACTAGATGTATTGATTTCCTGTGGCCATAACCAGCGACCACAAACTAGACGGCTTCAACAGCAGGTTTACACTCCAGTCAGGACCTAACGGGCTGAGGTTAAAGGTCTCAGCAGGGCACTGGATCCCCCTGGAGGCTTCAGGGAAGACTCCTCCCACTAGCCCCAGCACGGGCTGGGCCCCAGCAGGCTTCCACACCAGTGTAGAAAGCACAGGTTTCTACCTCATTTCCCTTCTCAGCAGACAGCTTGGCTAGTTCATTCTCTGCCAGAGGTTTTTGGTGAGCTTTTAAGAATGTGGTATCAGGGCTGGAGAGATGGCTCAGAGGTTAAGAGCACTGGCTGTTCTTCCAGTGGTCCTGAGTTCAATTCCCAGCAACCACATGGTGGCTCACAACCATCTACAATGAGATCTGGTGCCCTCTTCTGGCCTGCAGGGATACATGCAGGCAGAACACTGTATACATCATAAATAAATAAATCTTGAGAAAAAAAAGAATGTGGTATCAGATTCAAGAAATTTCTCTTTTGTGATATATATATATATATATATATATATATATATATCATGAATGAATATGGAATTTAAAAAATTTTTCTACTTCTTTTTAAATAATCTGTGAGGTTTTCTTTTTCCTGTTATGAGGTGAATTTCAATGATTTGTCTAAGTTGGGGAATACTAGGGTTTGCACCGAGGTCCTTGAATATCTAGGGAAATATAGTACTACTGAGTTACTACCCCTGTGTTATTTCAGGACAAAGTCTTGGTGAATTGCCAGGGATGATCCTCAGCTTTCCAAGCTGCTGGAACTTACTGATTTACAAAGGCTGGGTGTTGTTGTTTTACTCTTTTTGGGGGCCCGCTACCCAGCTCCCAAACACACACACACACACACACACACAGGCTTATTCTTTCTTATAAATGCCCGGCCTCAGCTTGGCTTGTTTCTTGCCAGCTTTTCTTAAATTATCCTATCTACTTTTTGCCTCTGGCTTTTATCTTTATTTATGTATACCTTTCTTTACTTCTTACTCTGTGGCTAGCTGTGTAGCTAGGTGGCTGGCCCCTGGAGTTCTCCTTTCCTCCCCTCTCTCTCTTGCTCCTAGATCTCCTTTCCCAGATTTCTCCTATTTATTCTCTCTGCCTGTCAGCCCCACTTATCCTTTCTCCTGCCTTGCTATTGGCCAGTTCTTTATTAGACCGTCAGGTGTTTTAGACAGGCAAAGTATCACAGCTTCACAGAGTTAAACAAATGCAGCATAAAAGAAGGCAACACATCTTTGCATCATTAAACAAATATTCCACAGCATAAACAAATGTAACACATCTTAAGCTAATATCCCACAACAGCTAGGTATGTGTGTAGGCTTGTGTGCATGTTCGTCCATGTGAATGCATGTGTGTGCAAGTGTGTATGGACACCGGAAGTTGAGATCACTCGTCTTCCCCAATCACTCTCTACCTTCCATTATTATTTCAAGACAGAGTCTCTCACGGAACCTGGAGCTCCCTAATTCTGATGACTGGCTGGCCAGTGAGCTCCAGGAATCCTCCTGTCTCTGTGTCCTTGGCACTGGGACTTGAGGTGCTCAGCTTCTTACCTGAGTGGGAGGGACCTGACACAGGTCCTTATCCTCGCGTGATAGGTACTTTGCCAGTGGAACCACTTCCTTATCTTACAACTTCCATTTTACTATGATGTGCTGTTCTTTGCGTTTATTCATGGATTTGGTTAATATTTAAAACTTTTATATCTCATCTTGGGAGAAACTGATCAAAATTTTCCTTTCTTATAATGTCCTTGCAGAATTTGGGTAGGAAGTGAACTATTTAGCTGAGTGTGGTGGTACAGGCAGGGATATCAGGAGTTCAAGACCAGCCTTATAAAGTATGTTTGGGGTCGTCCTGGGCTATAAGAAACTCTGTCTCAAAAAATATATATATAGTATTTGAGAGTGTGTACATTTACCATTTTAAGGCACATAATTCAGTGATGTTCCATATGTCACAATGCTATTCAGTCAATGCCACCGACTCCAGAACTCTTGTGCCTTCTCAGAAAGAAACCCCAATCCATCACGCTGTCACTTCCCATTTCCAGTTGCCCCTGGTAACTATTCACTGACTTCCGATTGGTCCGTCTGCTCTAGAAATTTGCATAAGATGGGTCATACACTTTGTGATCCTTCTGCCTCGCTTCTTTCACTTAGCATCGTGTTTTCAAGGCTCATCTATGTTGCTCTGTGTTTCGGTCCGCCACTGTTCCGGTCTGTTTTATGGCTCAGTAGTCTTCGTGGATAGACAGGCTGCCTGGATAGGTCAGCTGTTGTTCATCCACCCACTAGTCGGCGGATCCTGGGGTGGTTCAGCCTTTCATAAATAGTGCGGCTGTGACCATTCACATACTCTTCACGCAGTGAATAAAGGCATATGTCACATAGACGAGGCGTGGCAATTCTGGCAACTTAGGAAGATAACAAATGGATATGCCAGTAGAGAGAGTCTGGCAGGCACGGCAATATTAGGAACGAGTCAACAAATGCCTACCGTCTGCTGTGGACTGGGCACTGCCCCAGGCACCAAGGATATGGAGCAAATAAACCTAGTTTCTGCTCTCCCTTAAAAGACAACAGTCACCAAAGAAACATATTACCTAGTAAGATCCTTCCTGAGAGGTCAGCCCCATGAAGAAGGCAGTCTACTGTCTTGATGTGATGGGAGACTCCTCCAGGAGGAGGCAGCCAGGGCAAGAGGCCATGTCCCCGTTGATACCTGGCTTTTCTGAATTTCATTTTCCAATACGTACAGCGGAGACAGGCATTTGCATTACAAGAGGTTCGTAACTTGATGGCAGAACAGCTGCCCCACCCAGATACAGATAAAAAAAAAGGTGATAGCTGTTCCAGTCGCGGTAATATTACATGTGATCACATAGGTTGATGCAGCTACTGAGCCTAAATCCCAAATGGGTTGCTGTTGCTGAAGGGTCTGGAAACTTGACTTTTTCAGAGGCCTCGGATGGACATCACGAACCTGTCTAGGCTGTCCCTGTCTCTCCACGACTCGCCTCCCGTTCCCGGACAACCCGAGGAAATGCAGCTGCTTCGGGAAGAGGTGGCCCCCAGGTCCGGGGACAGCCCAGGCTGGTGCCAGTGTGGAAACTGCCTCCCGTCTCGTCTACCAGAGAATCGCAGGGCCCTGGAGGAGCTGTGCTGCCGGAGGAAGCGGGGGCCCTGCATCACCACCTCGGAGCTCTTCCGGAAGCTCGTGCTGTCCAGGCAGACCCTGCAGCTCCTCCTGCTCTACCAGGAGCCCTTGCTGGGGCTGGAGGAAGAGGTCGGCAACCGCAGGCTGCGGCACTGCGCGTACGGGTGCTATGCCCTCTGGCGCTTCGGCTCCCAGGACATGGCTGACTTTGCCATCCTGCCCAGCTGCTGTCGCTGGCGGATCCGGAAGGAGTTCCCCAAGACTGAGGGGCAGTACAGTGGCTTCAAGTGTCCCTACTGACAGTCCAGCTGGCACATTATGGTGGCTCCTCGGACAGCTTCTCTCGTAAAGACCTAGAGCCACGTTTTCAGACAAAGGGAACTTAGCTTCCCTCTCGCTCCTTGTGTGTTGAAGACCTGATTAGACCAACCCACAGGCGCACCAGCCCTCGCCACATGAATGAGAACCAGATGCAGATCTGAGCCTGGAGTCCGATCCTGCCACCCTCAACCTTGAATGTGTACAGAGGGTCCTCATTTCCCAGCCTGCTTTCTCTGAATTAGCTTGAGAGCAGATTGAGATGGTGTAGGCGATCTCTTGTAAATGTTTACGTCGCTCCATGGATGCAAAGGTCCAACCCTAAAAACTAAACCTTTGGCATTTGAGAATGCCCTGAGAGATTAAAGATGGCCACAGATTCTTTGACACCCACCCCCACAACCCTCAAGACCCCAAAACATTTGTTTCCCCCTCCCCATTATGGGCAGCTCTGGTGGCTTCATCCAGTAGTGGATGTGACATTGCATCTATTTCAGGACCTTGTTTTAAGAGGCTAACAGCTTCCACTTCCTGCCCTTGGAACTCTTGCTGAGGGGAAGCCAGCCCAAGTTCAGAGTCTGACTCTAGGAGGCTTCTCTGTTGTGAGGAAGCCTGAGCAGCCCCACGGAGAAGTACCCAACCTGCTGCCAGCTCATCGCCTTGAAGCCCAGTCACCACACAGGGAGAGAGGCTGCCTTGGGAGATTCTAGCCCCTACTAACACGTGACTGGAACTGCAGGAGTCAGGCCAAGCTCGAACTGCCCAGTCCACCCAGAGGTCGGCCCTCCTGTCCTAAGTCATTACATTTGGGGGGAGGGGGCTGGCACACAGCAATAGGTAACTGGAACAAGAAGTGGACATGGAGGCCTGGGGTCACCGCAAAATGTAACACTCTACTGGGTAGTTGTAAGAGGATTCGTTAACCCAGCCCAGAAGTCATGACATCTAACGTATACAAGATAGAGTCTGGTCCTCATTGCTAGCCTATGGTTCTAAGTGACTATTGTCAGAAACTGGTAAAAGCCACCTCTGTGCCTTTAACATCCTGGACTTTACAGCCAACGAGTGTGGAGGCAATCTGAGTGCTACTTTATTTTTTTTTTTTTATTTAATTTTTTTTTTTTTTTTTTTTGGCGCCGAAACCCGGGATCGAACCAGGGACCTGAGTGGTACTTTAAAAGGCAGCCCAAACTGCCAAGTGCAGAGCCATCCCAGTGCCCAGAAGGCCGAGGCAGGAAGGTGGAGTGTTTGACCTGCATGTACGTCTGTACACCCCACATGTCTGGTGCCTGTGGGGGTCGGAAGAGGGTATCAGAGCCCCTGGAGTTGCACATGGTCGTGAGCTACCATGTGGGTGCTGGAAACCGAACCTGAGTCCTCCGCAAGAGCAACAAGTGCCCTTAACCACTGAGCCACCTCTCCAGCTTCAAAACCACGTCCTTAAGAAAAATAATCGTAATCATAATAATTAAAAAAGGGGGAAGAGAGATGGTTCAGAGGGCAATGGCATTTTCTGCACAAGCAAGAGGACCTGAGTTTGGATCACAGCATCCACATAAAGAGCTGGTTCAGAGGGTGAAAGAGCCTGCCACGCATTCTCATGACCTGAGCTCAACCCCTGAAATCTGTAGGGGAAGTGGAGAACCAACTCCTAAAAGTTGTTCTCTGACCTCCACATGTGCCCCCCCACACACACACCATACGTGCACACTGATAATAAATAAAATAATTTAATTTTTAAAGAAAAAGCCAGTACCCTTCACTCTCTTCTGCAACTGCTAAGCACTAAGAGTGGACAGTCACAGGTTTGGGGTCCCGCCTCAAGATTTCCGTTTTATGGTTTTTTTCATTAGACATGGCCGCTTGTTTCTACAAGACTCTTCCGCAGAATAGAGACTGTGAGTATTACTGTGACTGATGATCTGCTCTGAGACTTGCCATTTTGAGACTTTTAAGAGCCAGAAGCCATAACTATAGATTGGAAGGGTGGGGCCGGGATGACTTAATGAAAAAGGTGCTTGCTGACAGGCTGGATGGCCTGGCCTGACCCACATGATGGGAAGAGAGAGCCGACTCCCCAAGGTGTCCTCTGACTTCCACACGCAAGTACTGGCCGCCCCCAGTACGTGATGTAATATCGTACATTCTTAAAAACAGAGACTTCTACTGTAGTGATAGAAAACAGCATGGATAAAACCTATTTTTTTTAAGCCCAGAGTTTTATCTAGCTTTAAACTCAGGAATCACACTAGTTGCACCAGCTTTGATTTTTATTTTTTCCTATCTTTTTGGAGATTTTTTTTTTCCAAGACAGGGTTTCTCTGTGTAGTTCTGGTGCCTGTCCTGGATCTCGCTCTGTAGACCAGGCTGGCCTCGAACTCACAGAGATCTGCCTGGCTCTGCCTCCTGAGTACTGGGATTAAAAGTGTGCACCACCACTGCCCGGTTGGAGATATATTTTTTTTTTTAAGTGGGCTGTATTTGACCTCAGAGTTGAACTTTTTAGTCTAAGGATTTTTTGTAAGAGCTACAGGCTTCCTGTCCTGTGGCCTCAGAATCTTCATACCTTCATCTCAGTGCCTCCTTCCTAGTGTGCTTACATTTCCATGTTGCAGCCTCACATAGTGAATGATCACTGGATCCTTCTAGTGTTTTCTTTTGCCTTGGTCACTGGTGCTGTGGTGAGGGTGACATGCTATTCTGCAGCTGCAGTGGTCTGTGCATCCTTCCTGCGTGGGTATTGCCATGGTCCAGGCCGTAAACAGCCCAGTGTGCAGGATCAGTTCTTTGCTGTTAGCCACATTCTGTTCTGTCCATTACCCGGTATTCATGGCTTCCTCAGTGAGAAGGGAGAGACGCTTCCTGACGCAGGTGACCGACTTCATGCAGCACTCAGGGTGGATTGATTCACTTCTCTCTTTAACGGGAACCACCTTCTAAACATTTCCTAATTTCAGGTTGGCAATGTAAGTTTTCTTAACTATTTTAATAATAAAAATGAATTTAAATTCATTTATTTAAGTCTTCTCTTTGATTTCTTTTTTTTTCCCCAGAAGAGTCCTGAGTCTCAATAAATTCATTCATTTTCCCAGTAGATGAGGTTATTCCTCCCAAAGAGATATATGAGCATAGACAGGGATCAAATGATTTGAGCAATGAAAACTTGCCACCTGTGGTATATATCATGTTGAAGGTAAATGATGTTCTGAGGTCCCTTAATGGGAGAATTTGACCTATGTGCAGAGATCAGAGGCGTTCTACCTGGGGAAGGAACAATTAAGCTAAAAAAAATGCAGAGAAACTCTTAGTTAACTAGAATTCTAAATGCGGCAGGGTAGAGCATTCCAAGTAGTGCTTATAACAAGTGTCCTGCATGGGCGGGGGGGTGGGGGTAAGGTAGGGGGGTGGGGTAGGGGAAGGGGGGTTGTCACAGATCTAATAAAGAGCATATTCTTATGTTGAAATCAGTAGACAGGCAGCCATGAAGGGTTTTAATCAGGAGTCTGGTAAGATCACATTTAATATTTGAAAAGTCACTCTGAGCCAGGCATGGCGGCACACAGCTTCCAGCAGTTAGAGACAGAGGCAGGCCGATCTCTGAGTTTGAGGCCAGTCTGGCTGGTCTACATAGAAAATGCCGGAGCAGCCAGGGGGATATAGTGAAACCCTATCTCAACACAAAGAAAGAAAGGAAAAGAAGGAAAGAAAGAAAGAAAGAAAGGA